GTTTGTGTAGAGCTGACATGATAACATCATTCTCTACTATATAACCCATGTCTTCCAGGTTATCATTTTCAAACATGATCATGGCCTCAGAGCAAGCATCCCACACCTACAAAAAGAAATTCTCTATTTAAATGCAGCAAAGAAATGCATAAATATCCCTTTTATCAAGACTTTTCATTGACAAAATTCAGCTGCTGAATTGTCTTGCAAATACATATTAAAGATATTAATGTTGAAAAGCAGAAGGCATTTAAAAGTGAGAAACTTCAAAGGCAGCACTTCACATATTATTCCCTCAATACACCTAAAATGGTTTGTTAGAAGACTGAGCAAGTGGCAGGTCTATAGCATACTTCCTGAAGGCCTAAATTATAGGGAATATTAAGTAATAGAGAATACAGGATATTTCTTTCAAGAATATAGAAGGGAAGGATTCACAAAACAACTGTATCATTCCTTTCTAAGTGCAGGATTGTACCAAATGATGTCTTTTCATTAGCAGAATAGTCATTACTAATTCCTCTTCATATCTTCACGATTTCCTTTACAATCCCCAAATCCACAGCAGATTTGGCAATTATGCTGAGGGATGAGGAAGGGGAGAAATTTATTGGGTGAGAGAATATCGATTCACATAACACTGGATGTGGCCCATGGCTTTACAGCTTTTCTAAGTGATTTACAGAGTCAGCCTATTGCCCCCAACAATCTGGATCCTCATTTTACTGACCTAGGATGTAAGGCTGAGTCAGCCTTGAGCCGGTCAGAATCGAATCGGCAGTCAGCAGAATAAGCCTGCAATATTGCATTCTAAGCCATGCATCACCATGGCTTCCTCCCCAGTAAAGAATAATTATTTTACACAAACTCCTGAAAAGTAGGGCTATGTAATGATTTAATTCCAAAAAGGTGCTTCAGAGCACAAGCAATGAAAATGTAGCATCTGTCTGCAATTATTTAAAATAATGGCATCTCTGCACAGGATGCTGTAACAACCGCACACAGGTGCTATAGCCAAACTCCTGAGCTTTATAAAGAAGTACTTTATATGTCGGAAGCACTGCATTGTGCTGCTCAAATAGAATGTATAATACATATACATATGTATATATACATACATACATACATACATACATACATCATATAATTTTCTCTAGTGAAGAAATACACTGTAGTTCAGAGTTCCCCAACTTTTGGGGGTTGGCCCAAAGTGGGAGGGAGGGGGAAAGAAAGGATGGTTTTGAGGGGGGGTGAATGCATGCACGCGCGCAAACACCCATTTGTTACACAAGTAGGGCCATTAGTGCTCACGAGAGTAGGGCCACAAGCCTCCACAACGCTTGCACCAATACTCACGAGTGGGGCTGTGCACATGTGCACACACATGCACTGGACAGCCACTCACACAGCCCAGTGGCCAATAGGTAGACCGCAGCCCTCAGGTTGGGGACCCCTGTTTTAGTTACTAAGAAACAAAGTAACTTAAGAACCCACACAACCTATTATTGCATATTACCACAGACATAGACTTTATTTTTTGCATTATCAGGCACCTGCATCCTTCTAAAAGGTTTGATTCTCATATTGCAGATATGTTCCCATGCACCAAAGCCTAAAAAAGAAAGAAAATGATCCTATAGTATCAAAGATTAACTCCCATATTCCATGAACATTTAATGGGAATTCATAAGAGCCAAAGAACAAATAAAACTGCCAACTATTATCTACTTTTTTGCAATGGTCTTTGTTCCACTTTATGGATTTTCATAGCTTTTGATCCAATTTGATTTTGATCCAATTTGATCCAATTGTCATCTATTGAGAAGACTGACAAAGGCTTTAAAGGATCTTGTTTTTTTGCAGCTCTCAACAGAATAGCCAATAAGATAATGTTTCTATTATTCCAGAGATGTTTGTAGTCAAGAACAAAAGGTATTTCACAAAGTATATTAGTAGCTATAACCAAGTTTAAGACACTGACAAATGTATTATATTTAAAGACTTTATATTCTAATTTACAGGATGTCTTATATAAAGTTAAGATTATATTAATATAATTTAAAAAAATTTAAAAGCAGCACAATGGATTGCAATCTACAATCTTTGAAACTTACAAAAACTACAAATCAACCCATTGAAATAACCAGAATATAGTTGAAGTATGCACAAAATCATGTTTTTGTGCATATTTCAACTTATTCTGGTGCTAGAAGGCAGTCAACTAGGACATCAATAATATATATTTTATGATTCTAGTATCAACACTGAAGAATCATGGGGCCAGAAATATAATAGGCTGGCCATGATTCTTAGACCAATATATAAAGAACTAATTATGTAAGACCACATTTCAATGGACAGAAATATGTGAATATGAAAATGATTTTTTAAGTAGCATTTAATAATTAATATCTCTTAAATTAATATTCTGAATAGGATGCAAGACTCTATAATTTCATACCAAGCATCAAACTCAATATACCCATTCCTTGTTTGGCAACTGCCTCAGTTAGTGATCATTACAAATACTACAGTAATGAACAGCAATAAAAAAATCAATTTCCAGCCAATGTGTACATTTATATCCAAATTTCCTGGGCCTGACAATTCATGTTTGAGAATATAATTAACTTTTGCTTAATGGCATAGTTGTTGGAACAGAACTTGGTTACTAAACAAGGAGGGTGCGTATGGCTACACACATTCACAGTTGGCATACAGGTAACTGGATAATGCTATACTTACTACTTAGAAATGTGGCAGATCCAGGCGTGATAGCACTGACTCTGTTACTGTAATCTGTTGATATATTCTTAATTTTTTTTTTGGGACGAGCTTCTAGTAGTAGAATTTTCTTATCAGAGAGATGAACATCATGCCCTTAAAGAAGCAATCAAATGTTTAACTATTTTTTCCAGAAAAGTTTAATCTAGTATTTTTTAAGATTATAAAATACAAGTCTTTAAAGGAATAGACTTGTTTTGGATTTTTTTCCTGAACACTCAGAATTGCTTAGTACCCTAATTATGATAAAGTATCTGGAGGATGTATCAGAGTTATTCCTCCATCTACATCACAGGAAAATCAGAAAGAAACTTGGGCTGAATGAGAGAATACTGCACAATCGATCTTCCTGAAGATGTATTGTCTATAACTATGTTGCAACCAAATATATTTTTTCTCCGGTCAATACAAACCTGCTACATACAACTCTGTATAGGTAGTCCTTGACTTACAATAGTTAATTTAGTGACTGTTTGAAGTTACAACAGCACTGAAAAAGTGACTTACAACTGTTTTTCACACTTACAACCATTGCAGCATCCCATGGTACATCATTAAAATTTAGACGCTTGGCAACTGACTTATACTTATGACAGTTGCTTGTCCCACTGTCATGTGATCAACTTTTGCAATCTTCTGACAATGGAGAAGCCACATTCACTTAACAACTGTGTTAATAACTTAACCATGCAGTGATTCACTTAACACCTTGGCAAGAAAGGTCATAAGATTGGCAAAATTCACTTAACAACCATTTCATTTAACAACAGAAATTTTGGGTTCAATTGTGGTTGCAAGTTGAGGAATATCTGTATTGCCTCTATGGAAGTTGTTTTCAACCTTTTCTTCACCACACATCCCCTTTAATACCTTTTATGGCAAGGACCATGGCCACGGACCACCAAAACTTAACTCAAGATTTAAATCATAGCATTTCTTTAAGCTTTTGCGAACCCCTGATGACAACACTGTGTCCCCTGAGGGGTCTGTGGACCAAAGGGCAAAAACCATTGCTCTATGGTTTCAGTTTAGCTTACAGAACCTTTATAATTACTAAAATGTAAAGCTTATGTAACATTTGTACTGTAATATCTAAACTTGAAATTATGAATAGTTATAGCTATGATTTTTTTCCCTTTATAGAAATGTGACATGTTTTTTGAAGCAGCTCAACAGTTAAAAATGCAGCTCAACAGTTGAAAATGCAGTGGCTAATTTTATTCTTTTTAACTTTATTGTGCAGCTTGTATAAACCACTCAGAGTCTATTTCAATTGGAGCAGCATGTAAGTCCTGTAAATTAATTAAAAAAAAGTTTGCGCTAATAGACCTATATTTCAGTATCCAATACACAAAAACTGTTTTGTTGAATGATATAAAATCAGCTAAACCTACATATGAATAGAACTGGTCTTCAAATTGCTATTGGGAGATGCACACTCAATCATGCGACAAACTTTTCGTAACAATTCTCTTGAGTATGTAGAAATATTTATAAGTTACCGGTCACAATAATCACCTTAAGCCTAGAGAACCAACCCGATTCTCTGAATCAACATTCCCCAAACTGGTTCTCTCGGCAAGTATTGGGCAAGAATTCCCAATCGCCGTGACGGAGGGGGATCAAATTAGGGAAAGCTGTGGAGACTTAAAATAAATAGGGATTCTTGCAGACTTCTGGGTGCCATTACAGAGGTTTATTGCCAAATGACCAATCTCATACCGAGAGCAGCAGCCATGGCGGCTCCCACCATGCCACCGCCCGACACCACCACATCGTATACTGCGTTCGAGCCATTACTCCTCACGGAACCCTGCCGCGACAGAGACCCGGCAGGCCCGGCAAGGAAAAGAAGACTCTTCCGACGATACAGTCCAGCGCCCCGATCCAACCATAATCCCACTACAGCAGCCATCGCTTCGGAAATGACGACTTCGTCTCTCTAACTACCACTCGTTACCGGAACTGTCTTCACGATTACCATGACAATGGACAGGTTAACAGAATCTGTCCAATGACATCTCATCAGGGGCGGGGCGTAACAGCACGGGAAGTTATCATTGGCCATTATGGGAGAGAAACAAAAAAGGAGAGTGTCTATTGGTCCGGGCATTAACAGCAAGGTAAGCGTGGAGCCTTTTCATATTGACGAAGGTAACAGCAGTGGAAAAGACATGACGGTGTCGGAAGTTGCTGGTGGAGCGCAAACTAAGTCTCCTGAAGAAGAACCGCAACGGGTAAGCAAACGCACGGGAAGATGAATCGTGGATTGTTTAGTGGCAGAGGCAGCTTTAAGTCGACTTGGTGTTTTCCATGATTGCTCTTGCGAGGTTTCCTCCGGCTGCGTTAGCCACACCCTTGGAGACCAGCTGTGTGAAATGCATCCTAGCTGATGCCATTGATTAGAGAAACGCACGGTGGCTGGTAAAATGACATGTTTCACCAACTATAACATTGGATCTAGTTAATGCAAGTGGTATTACTATTAATAGTAGTAGTAGTAGTAACCCTAGCTGAATTTGGGGTCTTATTCTGAAGTCCTCGAGTTACAACAGTTCATTTAGTGACCACAACGGGTAAGCAAACGCACGGGAAGATGAATCGTGGATTGTTTAGTGGCAGAGGCAACTTTAATTCGACTTGGTGTTTTCCACGATTGCTCTTGCAAGGTTTCCTCTGGCTGCGTTAGCCACACCCTTGGAGACCAGCTGTGTGAAATGCATCCTAGCTGATGCCATTGATTAGAGAAACCCACGGTGGCTGGTAAAATGACATGTTTCACCAACTATAACATTGGATCTAGTTAATGCAAGTGGTATTACTATTAATAGTACTACTAGTAGTAACCCTAGCTGAATTTGGGGTCTTATTCTGAAGTCCTCGAGTTACAACAGTTCATTTAGTGACCATTTGAAGTTACAATGGCACTGAAAAAAGTGACTTATGACCATTTTTCAGTTACAACCGTTGCAGCATCGCCATGATCACATGATCAAAATTCAGACACTTGGCAACTGGCTTGTATTTATGATGTCCCAAAGTCTTGTGATCCCTTTTGCAACCTTCTGACAAGCAAAGTCAATGGGAAAGCCAAATTCACTTAAGAACCATGATACTAACTTAACTGCAGTGATTCACTTAACAACTGTGGCAAGTAAGGTCATAAAATGGAGCAAAACTAACTTAACAAATGTCTCACCTAGCCACAGAAAGTTTGGGCTCAGTTGTGGTCGTAAGTCGAGGGCTACCTGTATGCATATGTAGAAGTGGTAGCATTAAAGAGAATGTAATATCAAAGCAGATTACCTTGCAGGACAATAGTAATTAATCAAATCAATGCCCAATTGAACCATTTGATAATCAGTATGTTTGAGTATAAGCATCTTTTCTAAAGTTTTTCCTCTACTTTATATTTTGGTTTTACTGTTTTGTTTTGCTTAGGTATTTCCGATTAAAGTGGAGTCAGAGTCAGAATCAGAAGTGGAACTTTGTAGTAACATCACTGGAAATGAGCTACTGGATTTTCTTAAGCCACAGCAAGACCAAATAGCTACTTCAAGTTTATGTGATCGGTTTTATGATTCACTTCAAGACCTCAAAAGGAAAAACAGGCAAAGTTTGTTAGAATTAGGACTCTTATATCAAGAAAAATTAAAAAATGATCATCACTCATCCACAGAAGACAAGAAACTGGAAGATTTTTTCCATGGCAACAGCAGACTGATACTGCCAACAAAATTCCATAAAGATCTGAGGTAAAATGAGTGGGGTTTTTTCTTTCATGGGATTAACAAATTATACTATGTCATTTCAGAGATAAAAATTCCAGAGATTCTTCCTGGGTTTTTCAATAATTTTTATTAGGGATTATACTGAGCAAACTAAATTTATACAACTATAAAATAAAAACATTAAAAGGTGCAGAAAAGGGGAAAAAAGATAATAGAACAAGAAAAAAGGACCACCACCCCTTCATCCCCAGCAAATATAATCAATATTAAGAACTTATCAGTGTATCTTAAAACCATACAGTTCTTTATAATCTTGCCCAAGATACCTCCAAAATCTCATATCCAAAACCTTATCCCTTCCTGTGAAACAGCAAAAGTCCCCCAAGGGGTTATCAGAAATGATAACGTAAGTATTACAAACTGTATCTATTATATCCACTCTGAAATCTCCTTCTCTTTTAAACTCCCCCCTCTCTATTTTTTTTTTCTTCAAATAATCAAAATTCAGTCACTCTAAATATTATTTATAATTAATTAACCATTACCCCAAATAACCATTGTCATCCAGCCCTAGACAAGAAGTCATTAAAATCCCTCCAAATAACAGCTCATTATTTTAATCTTGGTCAAATGGATTATCCCAAAGGTGTTTTTTCACAAGAAACTGGACTTTCTTGTTTTTCTTTGAAGACATTTCACTTCTCATCTAAGAAGCTTCTTCAGCTCTGACTGAATGGTGGGGAATGGAAGGATTTATACTCCTTACAGACAGCTGGTCATTTGCATTCTTTTAAAGAGTCATTAAGGCCACCTGGAGGTTTATCTGTGTTGTCAGGGTCACCTGAGTAGTGCAAATGGATGTGGAGCGTTCTTGGAACTGCTGAAAGGTCTGTGCTGTAGACTGGAGTTAGATGATATAGTATCCCTCCCCCTCTGTTGAGAGAGGGTTGTTCAGTTTTGACATAGATGGCCTCTTTGACCCCTCTTTCAAATCAGCGGTCCTCTCTGTCCAAAATATGGACTTCGCTGTCTTTGAAAGAGTGGCCTTTGTCTTTTAAATGCAGATGGACTGCTGATTGGTTTGTTCTCCTATGTTGTGCCATGTTGTTAAGTGAATCTGGTTTTCCCCATTGATTTGACTTGACAAAAACCAACTGGGAAGGTTACCAATAGTAATCACATGGTCCTGGGACTGCAGATGTCATAAATACAGATAATCCTCAACTTACGACCACAATTGAGTCCAAACTTTCTGTTGCTAAGTGAGATACTTAAGTGAACTTTGCCCCATTTTATGACCATTCTTGCCACAGTTGTTAAGTGAATCTCTGCAGTTGTTAAATTAGTCACATGGTTCCCTAATAATGATACAATTGGGTGAAGAGGTATGCCGGGCTTATGTATTTCGGGGCATCCATAGAAGCAAGGAAGAATGGGTCTACTGCTTTTCTTTCTTTTTTTTCAAATATAAATTTTTATTATTTTCATCATAAAAAAA